GAAGGAAGGAGCGCTAGCTTGAGTTTAAGCCTCTTTCTTCCCTCTGAAAGACCTGATCATTGCTGAACCTGGACTCCTTTTACAGAAGGCACATGGATCTTGAAGAAATGCCAGGAGTACATACTTTCACTGTTTAATCACCCATTTCAGCAACAACCTTGAAAACTTTCCATCACTTACGTGTGTCAGTTTCATCGTATCTTCAGCTTGTTATCGTTTTTTCTGATTAGAACTGAAAGTCTCCCTTTGTGTTTATAAAATGTTGTGAAGATATATAGAGGTGTCAGAACAGTCTGACGTACGCTTGGATATTTCCGTCTAGATAATTGTTAAATCATCTTTAAATACATAAATACAGAGATTGAGTAAGCACAGCGAGGCCTTTATCGGTTTATGAGTCACGAAGATGTCCCCCTCACTTTCTGTTTCCATTCTAAGTGTCCTCAAACCAACTACCACGTGAGTCACTTTGCACTCAGGATAAGTAAGACAGATCTGTTTCCCTCACAGTCTCTGAACAGTTTGAAGAGTAATTTCATGTCGGTGTGCCGCTGCTGCAGTGCCCTTGATTTTCGTCACAGGTAAGAACATTAACCAAAACAGCGGCTAAAAGCCTGAGCTGTAGTAAGGTAATGCAGCTTGAGGAAACCAAGTGCTCTTCATTTGACCATGTGACCGCGGACTAAAAGTTTTTAGACTGATTGCCCGCGGCTCTCAATAAACCCCTCTTAGTGTTTCAAGCTCCTTTTAGCTGTTCTGTTCCTGCTCACCTCATTTGTTTGCTTGTGCTGTATTCACACATGCACAAAGCTCCTCAATAATTCCCTGAAATTTCCAGTGGGCTGGATGTGTGGGGGAGTAGGGTTGAGAAAATATTCAAGAAAGTTCACTGCAAGCAAGTGGGCGGGATACATATTTTAAGTGACCAGTATGAATCTGTACGAGAGACGTGTTAAGGTTCAAGAAGAAAGTTGAAGATTTACTTTCAAGGCGAGAACAGAGGAAATTTCGACTCATCTGTAACTGACATCAAAGTAAAGGTTCGTCTGTTCTAGACACATCGCTGTGGTTTGGGTGTCCTTTCCTGCCTCTCAAGACTCACCTCCATCCCCCTGGTCTAACAGGGAAGACTCCATGCTGTGATCATTTCTAATTATTTCTGACTTCTTGGCAGGCTGCATTGACTGCTGCTGAGAAAATCTCGTGCAACAAGAGTTCAAAAATGCAGAATGGTGACAGAACACTTTGAAAACAATTGTTCATTTGAATAATTGCAAATAAGTTCTGACAAGCTGCTTTTATTCTTCCTGCCTAATATGAAATGACAGCGAGGTGAACACACCACGCTTACTGAAGTCGGCATGCCAAAAAACTCTCCAATGGAATTCCTTGAACTGCTTTTACTTCGACATTAAGCAGATTATACCAATCAGTTGGTTTATTCATGCACCAACTAACCGGTGAGTAAGTGCAACAAGTTAGTAAAAAAAGGGGACTCATCCAATCAGCAATGAGCTGGACTGGTGTAAAAAAAATAGAACTGTTGCTCCCACTGATGAAGTGCCACAGTAGACTCATCCCTCTGTGGAAACAGATTAGTCAATGTGTGCAACAGGCTGCAGGAGATCTTCTTCAGAAGTGAAATCAAGTGCACCATTCTGCCGAACATAATTCTCAGAAAAACTCCAAGTCTGTTCCAGCGTGCGCAGGATGTTTCAGTTCGCTGCCACTACACCTGGAGTCAGGAATAAAGCAGCATGAAATTTCAGAGGAGTTACTTTTATGTTGTTGCGACTGTAGCAGATGGTCAGCCTTTAACCAAACATATTTTGAAGCTTTGACAGACGCAGACTCGGGGGTCACCTTCTTCCTTTGCGCAGAGCGTTGAAAAACAAGCTCTTTGTTTCCTTGACTGTTTCCCTGCTTCACTTCCTCTCTCTACAAACAAAAAAGACAAGACATATAGACAAACATATCTGCACACTTTTACAGGACTGTCATCTCCATGGAACCCAGCTGGTCAAAGCTGTATTGCTGGAGGCAAGGACATAAACACACAGCTGAAAAATGATTGAGGCCAAGAGGTCCCCATTCTGTGTGTGTGTGTGTGTGTGTGTGTGTGTGTGTGTGTGTGTGTGTGTGTGTGTGTGTGTGTGTGTGTGTGTGTGTGTGTGTGTGTGTGTGTGTGTGTGTGTCTTGACTGACATGTTTGTGTTTGTATGCAGGTTTCTGTGTACATCTTTATGCAACTTCTTGTGAAAATGCACTGAAAGGCAACTTGTAGGCTGGAGACTGAGTGAATCGATGTGAAGGAAAAGTATATTTATCAATAAAATGTCAGAGTTGTTTCAATAGGGTGACCTCAGGAGTCATCTTTGTAAGTTTACTTTTATTTCCAACATCAAAAATGGACGACTGGATGTGATGTAAGAAGGAGTTCAGCAGATTAATCTTATGATTAACATCCATCCATTTTCCTCCACTTATCTGGTATTGGTTTACTTTGGTAGCAGACAAAGCAGGTCGATCTAGACCTCTCCTCCAGGATTCCCAGGTGTTCCAATGTCAAGTGGGATTTATTATCCCTCCAGTAGGCCCTTGGTCTTCTCCCAGCCTCTTTGCCTCTCTTAGGGCAAGGTCCACCGTTTTTCAGCAGAGGACAACATTAATAGATGAATAGAGAAAATAGAGAAAAACCTTGGCGCAAGCCTTGTCAATGATGAGCGACTTTTTTATGTACACTCACTGGCCACTCTATGAGGTACACCTTGTTAGTACCAGGTTGGACCCCCTTAAGTCCTCAGATCTGCAGTAATTCTTGGTCGAAGACTTTCAACAAGGTGTTGTTCATATTAGCATGACAGCATCACTCGGGTGCTGCAGATTTGTCGGCTGTACATCCATGATGCTAATCTCCCGTTGCACCAAATCCCAAAGGTGCTCCATAGGATTAAGATCCAGTGACTGTGGAGGCAACTAGAGACCAAGAGGACTCATTGCCAAGCTCAAGAAGCCAGATTAAGATGATTTAGGCTTTGTGGCATGGTGCATTATCCTGCTCAAAGTAGCCATTAGAAGATGGGTAAACTGCAGTTATAAAGTGGTGGACATGGTCGGCAACAATACCTCGGTAGGCTGTGGCGTTTAAACGATGCTCAGTTGGTACGAAGGGGCCCAAAGTGAGCCAAGGAAATAGAAAACATGATCTGACTGGCATCATCCAGAGATGAGACCTGCAAGCTGTTTATAACTTTTTAATAATTCATAACAATGAGAATGAAGACATTCACAAGTGGATCTCTGTGTTAATCCTGATGATCTCTTTGTCTTATTGCTGTTTTGCACTGGGAGTTCTTATGTTTGACTGATAATTCACTTCAGCGCATAATCATCATCCTCTCTGCAGCTCTCTTTTTCTCTCTTTCTCTGTAGTCTGCATTACCATTTCTCGCTTAATGTTATTGAAAGGCTGATGAAGATCGAGGAGGTTCTGTTTATTTGCATTTTATTTTAAAGTGGTACTCCTTGTAAGAGAGTGCAAAGGTACTTGAGTGGGAGACTTCAGCCACCTGCTACTGCCCATCAAAATGTACCATCTTATAAAATTACGTGAACGCTTCTTTCATGTTTTATTTACATGCTATATACTCGCAATGTTGTGTGCTTTCAAACAACTTAGATGTGACTAGCCTTACCCTCTAGGTTTTTTCAGATAGAATAACATTTATAACTACAAAAATGTTGGACTGAAAATATCTTATGAGTTATTTGGCAAATATTTCTTTGCTGAATAAGTCGCCCATGAAAAATGTTTTGAAAAAAGAGCATTTATCACTTCTGCTTCTTGTGTATAAAGGCTGACATTGAATAAACAAAATAGCAATAAATTCCAATACACTGACAAGTTAGCTGATTTTTCCACCTCTACATGCATCTGTATTATTGCACATTTTATACTAAGAACATTCAACCTCAACAACTTACTGAGAATTTGGTGTTTAATCTCCCGAGCCCTAAATGCCAGTTTTGCTTATTGGTGTAATCATATGGCCTATGTATAGAAGCTGAAGGTCTTCATGTGGTTGGGCTTGGTTGAGTTTTATCTGTGTTGCAAGTTGCAGCACATCTCCAATGCTTTCAACCTTGTTTCCTGCTCTATCATCTGCCCTATCCCCTCGATGAAATCAATTAAAACCATTTAAATATATAGAACAAAAACTCCCACACTAGGGGTGGGAATCACGAGCGGCCCCACGATACGATAATATCACAATCCTTGGGCCACGATGCAATATTATTGCGATTTTTATAATTTTGCAATACAGTGAGTATTGCAATACAATATATTGGGATTTATACAATTTTTTCAACTGTTTAGCTAATTTAGCATTTGGCTTTCTTTTATGTTTGTCTTATTTACGCTGTATTTTATTTTCATGTAGCACATCTTGCAAACCTTATATATATTTTTGTACTAACATTTTCTCATCTCTGCCAACCTCACTGGACAAACAGTTGATTTTATTTTTCCATTTTAAGAGATTTGACTTCATATTGGCAATTAATTTGAAAAATCGAGACTTGGTAAATGAGACAAAATATCGCGATACTGTATGTAACCATCACTTCATGTGTTCATGTGTGTGTTCAAAAATGGATCTCGTCTGTGTGCGCGGCTCATCCGGTTGAATGGTCAGTGTCCAGGATGATGAATTGAAAGTTCAGAAGAAGATCTGTTAGAATTTGAAAGCCATGGAAGGAGAAAATTGGCAACGATGTCTTAGGCTGGATCCCTCACACCCTCCATTCATCATCCCCAGATAAAAGGTTAGATGGCTTCAGCTTTGTGTGAATGTGTGTGTGTGTACATATGTGTGTGTGTAACTGGTTTCTGTGTGAAGCCGGCTGCATTGGGCCTGGCTTGATATTTGCTCCTTAATTATTAATCACTTCAGTTTATTTTGGGTAATTTGTGTGCACTGAGATCAGTGTGCATTAGGGTGTGTGCATTTGTGTGCAGCAGGTTGTGTGTTTGAGTGTATCAGTAGAAAATAAGAAACACAGATGAGTCATTACGCTTTGGCAATCAAATTATCTGGTTTGTTTATGAGCTTTCAGTCACCTTAAAGTTCATTTTGGGTGATGTGAGGTCATTTTTTTTGTGTGTGCTCTTCAGTTTGTGGTCCCTGTTTCTGTTTTTCGCTTGTGGGTGAAGACAATAACAGAACACAATATCTCTAGCTCGCTTCATAAACATTCAGCGACACTCTCTCACAGCAGGTGGTTCATTACACGGGGAGTAATTAGGCTGACTTGACTTTCTTCTGCTCTTGATTACAGATACATATTACTTCCACCGGAGCATGAAAACAAGACAATTTTTTCATTGCTTATTTCGATGAATTATTTGTTGCTTTCGTCCACTGCTGTGCGTTTAGGAGTTGCAATTTTCCTCAAATGATCAGTTATAGAAACAAAGTATAAATGGAGGTGAGATGGGGTGAGCTGCATCATAATAACATTTGATTGAATTTTGCGGTTGTTTGTTCATGCCATCAGCAGGTAGCATGGGGTCTTTGTGATTTTAAAAGCCAAAATACGCTGTACTTTATTGTTAATGTAGAGGCAGAGAAACTAAATGTACCACTTACAGCTAAAAATATTCCTTAAGAGGTGCTCCAGCCTACATGACCAGTGATGAGAAAAAAAACAGGTGTTTTTGAGTATCTGTGCTCGTAACTTACAAAAGCGTAATATCTGACTATTTGGAATAACTTGATACTTTTATTTTTCTTCTAGTGTCCTTGCTCCTATCATCTCCTGTGTTTCCATGTGATAGGATGAGGACAGTGTTGAGCTTTTTCTTCCCCCTGTGGCAGTCACAGTCATGAGGTGACTCAGTAAGTGCCACCTGACCTACATACAGGTATAGGTATAGGTTAGAGCAGCTGGAGAGCTGAAGCGCAATAAAGGCTAATTACTGTAACAGCAAGCCTGTACAAACATTCTCCTCCTCTTTGTGCACCCAGGCCGAAAACAGAACCAGATTTTTGTCTGCACCAGATCAAGTGGGGCTCTGTGTGTCTTCATTTGCTGATTAGATTTGTTCAAATAAACAAAAGCGTGACAAATGGTGTCAAAGTACTCCCACCGTTTCCCCAGAGTGGCATTCAGAGCTTCAGCACCTCGGAGAGCGACAGCAGCCTCCAGATTTGTTGGTGCATATTCAGCACCAAGGTCAGCGACTGACAGTCCCACACACCTATGGATGCTGAGCACACGTTGAAAAAGAGCAACCCGCACTGCCGTATCTCAACCGCTTGACAATGTTTCCCCTCTCTAAAGACATTTAAGGCCACATAGATAACGACACCGCCCGCCCTTATCCTTCTATGAACCCTTATTTAGACTGGATCACCTCACCTGCCCCTCTCATACACACCGCACATTATACACACACACACACACACACACACACACACACACACACACACACACACACACACACACACACACACATCTCTGCAGCTCCCTCCTTATTACTTTCTTCCACACTCCACCAGTCTGATAAGCTCCTTTGTTTGTACTCTCTCTAGCTCCATCATTCTCCAATCAGTGTGTGCATTTTTCATTTCCCACCCTCCCAAAGACACACACACTGATACAACTGTTCCACGCACATACAGCGCAGGGAACCCAGGGCTTTCAGGGGGGGCACCAAAAACAGCGGCTTTGAATTTGTTCAGAGTTTTGTTTCTCAGTCGGCAGAAGCACAAAGATCTCAGTTTGAGTCTTGGGCACCATGAGCACACGGGTGACGTGAAAAAATTTGGTTGCATAATACTTGAATAAAAGACTGAATGACTCTGATGGGTTTTTATTTCAGTGTTTTTGTCTACGAGGAGTCTAACCTGGAGGGGTGTCAGATGTTTCTATTTGGCTTTTAATACTTTTTTGATGTGAAAGGGACTTATTAAATGAGAATTTTTGTCAAATGAAAGCTTGATATTTCAAAAAATATGCATGGCACAAAAAAAATTTATTAATTCAAAAGAGATGTCACAGAATGACTGGCAAAGCAGTGATGAAACACGGCATGGAAACATGGAAATATCTCACACTTCCATGTAGTTTCATTTCTCACCCTATAGGCTGTTACATCTCTTCCTGTGTCCTTTCCAGGTATAAATATTAACCTAAAACTTGAAATATTTTTTTTAACTAACTTTAAAACCTTTTCACTCTGATGAATAATCATATGATTTGATAAACTGCCATTATAAAAAAGTATATCACTTCAGAGTAGGGCTGGGCGATATGGCCTTAAATCAATATCACGTTATATTGAGCAGTTCACCTCGATAACGATAAATGGACGATAACTACTTCACAAGCTGCTCACCCCCTCCCACATCACTTTGTCTACTTCAGCTGCCGCTACAACCTTTTGAACCGTCCTCCATCTCCTCACCTGTCTTTCCCTCTTTGTGACGTCACGTTAGTCACGTCTCTGACGTAGGACAGCATCTTAAAAGGGACACGAGACCATAGCCTACCTACACACATCCAAAACTAACTTTTATTTATTTATTTTTTTGACACAGAATATATTGACATGGGCAAAATGACGTTGATTATTGTCGTCAATTTCGGTATCGGTAAACTTCAGTTAATTGCCCGGCCCTACCCTAGAGTATGGCTTTTGCTGACATTAGACACAAAAGGCACCAAGCTGTTTATCTATTTGTTGCATTTGCTAAAACTGTGGTCTTTATTGATTTGGTTTCCTTTTACTAGTCAATAAAGTTCAGATAAAAAGAAGAAATGTTTTGGTGCATCGGATAGATGGATAGAGAGGAAAATGAGACAGGGACAGAGACAGAGACAGAGACAGAGGAGATGCACTCAGAAACTTAATGATAGCAGATAAAACATGAGAGGAGATATTCTGGGAAGAGAACCACAGAAGAAACGTCCACATGTAACAGTGAGACAAAGAAAGCATTATGCAGCAAAATCACTGCAGCTTTGATGAAACTGTTTAGTTCAGTACTTTATGAAAGACTAAAAGTTTGGACCTAAACTTTCATGTTGCATTAACATAGAGATGTCCCGATCAGCCTTTGGGCCCCAATCCTGATCAAATTTTTTACATTTTGAGTATTTGCCTGGATACTATTATTTATTATTATTTTATTATTTTTTATTTGTTGTTGTGTGTTTGTGTGTTTCTTATTTATTTTCTACCTTGTCTTTAGATCATACAGTTTAACAAAGTCCTGCTTTCACTGTAGAACAACTCCCATGTTATCTATTTTACATGCTCTGCGGTATGGGACACATAAAACTGAAGTGCATGCAACACAGCTCTTGAGGCAATACAGCTGTGACAGTGAGAGCTTCACAATGGCAGCGACCAAGAACATTACACTAGATATTAACCCGGCTCTCTTGTGTTTTTCCCTCTTTATCAACTGGATTACAGTATTAACTTCCCTTTTTAAATTGTGAGTCCACCTCAGTGTCATAACTAGGGCTGCGCTGTATCATTTCGCCCACGATAATGTCAGTATAATTTCTTGAACGATACAAAAGTGTCATAATGTGATATCACCTACAGGAGGTCTTTTGAAGCATTGCTGACTGAAGAGCACCACCTCCTCCTTGCATTAAAGTCTGTGTTATTTTTCAGTGAAAGAGCACTGTGGCTCAGTCATCGGGTAAACCCATGTTATCGCTCCAAATTCATGTTGGCTAATAACAACAATGTACTGTATAATGGGTGCATTCATTTGTACCGCTTCTCTGGTTCTGTCTGGAGATTTGACATCAGCAGTGTGCTGAAATGGCTTGACTTGGTTTGACTGGAGTCGAGCACAGCAGGGACCAATATCTCCAATTATAGCGGCTGTACCTGCATATTTAACTGAGGACTCATCCGTCTGACGCTGAAGTTGAATAAAAGATGTAGGCTGTGACTCTGACTCATGGTCACAGGAGAAATCCTATATAATCTATCTCTCAATGGTATTCCTCAAAACATCACTGATATAGTCACTTCACTGCACACGTGTTACCTCTTGTATATGAATATGTAGTCCTTGCTTACTATGTTGTTGGGGTGCCATGATTTTTAAAGGAAATGTGATGTTTCGCTGCACAGTGAGATGTTGGGTTACAGCTGAATAATTGCAGAGTTGGTACTGGATAGTAGGGATGTCCTGATACAACTTTTTTACTTCCAATACAATATCGATATTGAAGCCTTCAGGATTGGCAGGTACCAATATTGATCTGATATTGATCACATGGGCTCTGCATGCTGGATCTGGGCACTGCCAGATAGAGGTACCAGAGCGGAGTCTGGAATGGACTGCTTGTATCGAAGATTTTAGATCAGGGCTTGGACGATATGCTTTTCTCCCAGTTCGATTCTTCTACGATTTTTTGGATTCGATTCAAATTGCGAATCTACAATATTGTCAAATTTCTCGATTTTTAGTCTTCATTTTTAACACCAGTGAAACAGTTGAGTGATTATGATCGTCAACTGACTAATCCAGGAACCATATTTCCCCCAAAAAATACACATCACATGTACCGTATTATTTGCACTATAAAGGCGCACCTGATTATAAGGTGCACCATCAATTTTAGGATTTTATGTGAGAAAAATACGATAAGTCAGTTTTTAGGATTTATTTTTAATTTTGGAAGAAAAAAAACGATTTTTGAACATAAAAATTATAAATCTATAATCCGATATCCCTTTTTGTGCTCATATCGGACTGATATCTGATATCAAAATTGGATCTGGACACACCGACTGGATAGGTGTTCTATTGTACACAATCAAAGCTAAGTCACTGGTAATGTCCTTTGCTTTTTCAGGGTTTGTCCCACACTGTTTTTTTCTCTCTCTTGTGAATGTGTGCATTCACACACACACACACACACACACACACACACACACACACACACACACACACACATAGACTGTATAAAAAGAAGCACCTCAACACATGAACAACCTTCTTTCTGAAGGTGAGGACATGCAAATATAACCCCCAAATTTAATGAGAAGGAAAGGAGTTGAGGCAAGAGAGACCGCTCCATTTCAGAAGGACACCCACAAACACACGCGAATGTGGACACACACACACACATCCCTCCGCACACTAAAAGATGGGAAAGGGAAAGCGGAGAGGAGCGGCTGTAAATGAGTCTCCAAGCACAAAATGCCACTAAACACAACAGGCCGTGTCTAGGTGAGCGTCGCCAGAGGCTCTTCTCCTCTGAATACGAAATGTGCTGTGCATTCAAAGCATGAAACGACACTCTTCACACCGGGCTTACAGGAATCATCTCGCTTAAGTTATCAGGACACAATGTGGTGTCTATACATCAGCACAGCCCATTAAGCTGTCATCGTCGTGACATAAGTTATAACAGTGCAGCAGACATGACAGAGGTCATAAAGCTGTCTGCTGGTATGACTCTATCATAAAGTGAAGCCACCACTTTAGCTAAGGCTGCTTTGATAGAAACATATGTCAGTGCAGCTGGAGCTCAAAGTATCAAAGCAGGATGGGTTATGACCTTTCTTTGGAGAAAATTTACTTTTTTAAATCATAAAGCCTAACACTTATTATCTTGCACTGAAAACACCCAACACGTTTCCCTTCCAGGTGAAATAAACTACATCTTGTTTGTTTATTTATTTTTTAAATCTAACACCAAAAAGAAAAATGCCAAAGTGATGATGAGTCATGCTGAGCTGTTTCAAAGTTTGACTGACAAGTCTGTTTTGACATTGCACAGTTAATGCAACTCTGACAACTTTTGAAAAGTCTGCTCACAAATGAGCTATAACATCTCCACCAGACTGTGGACCAACAACACGATGCTGCATGGTCCAACAAGAGAGTATCCTCAGAAGCATTGTACTCCTCTGTTTCTTGCAAATTAAATCAAATCAGTCACACAAAGATGGCTGACTGTACCCTTCAAACTTTTTTTACATTTAACTCAAGTTCTGCAGAAGAAAAACATTCAGATAGTTGCATGTACGGCTGTCTCGATACAATATTGATATTGTGTGGCAGAATTTTTCGGTAAAGTCCGAAAAGAAGTTGCAGCTGAGTGCAAAATTTGTCATGCACAACTCTGTGCCAATATTGGATCAATATCGGTATCAGCCGATACTGAAGGCTACGATATCGGTATCATATCGGAGGTATATCGGTACCAAGTATATCGGTCAGTGTGCATTAACAGGCAGACAGTACATGTATTTGTTGAAACTTCAGGTGTTTGCACTAACATGATAGCATTAGCTTCAAGGGTTTGGACATCAATCATTATATCACTTTATGCCTTCTTAGTTCATTAAGTAACAGTTGTAGTTCAAAACAATTAATGTTTATAGGGATCCAGCTGTTGAAAAGACACTGTGGAAAGGCTACAGGAGTATGGTCTGTCTTCTCGCCATTAACAGAGATAGCCATATGCTTGCTCCAGATGCCTGGTGTCCCTCATACTCGCTCATTATCTGCTCTCACTTTACGAGCTGGCTGTGTGGAAATCATATCTTATTCCAAGAGCAGCTGGAAACATTCGGATATTCAGCTGGCCATTTACTTTAAGTGCATGCTTTGAGGTTCACAGACTCTTTGGATTTTATCTTAATACCAATAATTAGGTAATATCTCTACAGGATACTAAGATACTTAATCAAGCAAATCAAATGTATGTATTTTTTTGGAAAAAATGGAAAAGGTTAAAAGATTTCTTGAGAGCCAGTCCCTAAAATCAATGTTTCATGTCATGTTTTGAGTTGAAGTAAGCTTACATTTTGTCAGACAAATGGTACATCTAAAGACCTTCTGCTGCCCCCCCAAAGAGTGCACAAGTTTACAACAGATGCTGTTGCCATGCCACAGCACTCTGCCATGAAACAGGAAGTAGTCTTTGAAGGGCTTGATACACTTGTAGAGTCACCAAACATGGTTCACATCAGCCCAGTGGAGCAACGACACATTTCACACAGGTACAGTTGCTGGGTGTGACCTTAAAAGCTTCAATTCCCCATAACCAAGATTCGAAAATACAGCATATCCCCCCTTTAAGGATTGGCCTTGACTTGACTTATGCATCTTGGCTTGACCAATCCATGTGCACCACACCCTAAAATGTGCAGAGGCGCAAGAGCCGGTTAAGTGCTGTTTGCAGCTTTTATATTATCTTCCATTTTCTCATGGTTGTCTCAATCAATTCTACAATTCAATATCTTTTAGAAAATGTAGCTTATATGAAAAGTGATAAAACTCACAGAGTGAAACAATGGTTTTCTGAAATCTCTCTCCACCTGTTCTGTCTTTACTCTGCAGGTTTCAGAGATGAGTGAAAAAAGAGACTGCTAGAGAAGAGTGGTTAAAGCATTAGAGCAGTTAATACAAAATAAAAATGGACACAGTTTGGAAATCAGTTGATTTTTCTTGCCAGCATCACTTTCCATCACTTTGCACTAGTATAGACTGGGTTTATGTATTTGTCTTTGCCAAGTTTACTCACAAATATGCCACATTAGTAATGCTAAACAAACACACATAGAAAATCAAGACTGTCAACACTATGCCATCATCAGATAAACATCAAAGTGCGTACACACTCTATTGAAAAGTCTAATTTATCTCTAAGAATTCATATCTCTGCACAGCACATCACATTGAGTATCATTATCAGAAGTCCTTGTAAAGGGGTGAAAATTCCTCTCCGGCTCCGATCAACCCACTTTATTTACTGGAGATGAAAAAGCCTGTTGGTCGGTGTAATTAGGGTGGTGATCTGCTGTGCAGAGGAGCAGGGACACGCTTTAATAAGGGAGGCTGGCACACACACATACACATACACACACACGTACACGTGTCACCTCAAGGACAAATCAAGAGATTCACTTTGAAAGTTGGGTTGTGTGTGGGTGTTTAAACTCACATCACATCAATGTCACATTATGCTATGTTCTTGGAAATATAGAGACACTAGCCACACGTGAATTTTACAATAAATGACTAGAAACAAAACAACAGTTTCGTGTCTTATATGAGAGATGGCATTTTCACGCCAATACCTTGTCTACTTCACAGCCTGCTTGTAAATGTTACACTGATTGCCACAATTTTCTCTTATCGTGTAAAAAGCATCCAGCCAGCAAAGACCATCATCAGTCTGTTGCTTTTACAGAATACCAATAAAAGCTCGGAGCTCAATTAAAAAACACTCTTTCCCAGAGGAAGGCTGATAACTTTGACCTCACCAAGAGAGAAATTAAAGATCAAGACTGCTGCAGAGGGATGAAAACTCCCACTTTCTTCCTTTTTTTTGTATCCTACACCCTTCCATCCTGGGGTGCTCTCTATTCACATGTTTTTGCTTGCCTTTTTTCTCTTTGTTTTGCTTTCCACCTAACCTTTGGTACTCTTCTGTTTTAGCTCAGCTTCAGCTCCTCACTCTCCATCTCCTCTTTGCTTTCTTCCACCGCAGCTTACTTTGTTTGGCCTTTGAAATTTGCACTTTTCAGTGTGATAATAAGCTGTCTGTTTCAGCTTGAAACGGCCCCTCAAGAGACTTTCCTTTCCGTTCAAGCATGTATGTGAAATAGTAAAAGACAGTTGAGTGTCTTCATGAGAATAACACACGTTCTTTCAGCGTGTTTGTGTGCTGGTGAAGACGTGTAATTGTGTGACAGCGTATGAAGTTGTGTGTTGATGTGAGGGAAAGTGACAGTGTCAGTGTGTGTGTGCGTGTTTGCGTGGCATCCATTGGTTTCTCCTAGACTGTGAAGGCGACCCGCAGAGCAGGAAGCAGGGATCAGGCGGCACACCCCCTGCTGTTGTAGGGAGAATGAGCGGGGTAGATAATGCCCTCTTATCTACCCCAACACCCCCCTCTCCTCACCTCCCTTTTCTCCCTCGCACACGCCTCCATTAACTCCGACAAACACGCGCATACACACACACACACACACACACACACACACACACACACACAAACAAATAAACCCCCCTTTCTAACACCCTCTCTGCAGGGGGGCAAAAGCTTTGAGTTGGATTTGGTGCTAGTTGTGGTGGTGGTGGATAATCATACCGCAATATGCCAATGAGACAACTCACACAAACAAACTGAAACTTTTAGTCAATCCGCAACCAAAAAAATAACACAAATACGACTCCAGCTGAGAGACACTTTTCCTCTTTATAACTGTGCTGAAAGTAAATATAGGAATTTAAAACACTTGATGCAAGGAGACAACACAATTAAATGTTTGAGTTGTGTTCATAGTATTTAGCCTACCATAAAACCTCCTGATGTGTACTTGTTAGGGTGTGTATTTGTTTGCAAGCTACTTGATTTGTATGATCCAGTTTGGTAATTTTCTATGAGAAAGTATAAAAATAGTTGTGGGACTCAGTCAGTTTGTCATGCTAGGATTCATGAATGTGATCCAGATCAGGAGTCTGTTGCTCATCATTGGTTAGTAATCTCTCAATTGGAACGTCGGGGGGGTTGATCCCGGAAAGTAGGCTTGTGCATTTTGCTTGGATGAGAAAATACAGCACAAAAAAAGGTAGGGCTGCAGCTATTGAATATTTCAGTAATCAAGTATTCTACCGAATATTCCCATTGATTACTCGAGTAATCCGACCCAAACGGCAGACTCACATACCGTGAGATTTCCTACATCACAGATCCAAGCTCTGACCCTGGAGCCCCGCTATGACGGCTAGACTCGAAGAAATAGAGGACAATCACGGAACAAGCGTGTGCGTTAGCGGATTGCAATGCTTGTAAGAAAGCTAATTATGATATTGACTTTCATCACGCCCCAAAAGACATTAGTGTCTGAGAGCTGAATCGCTCCAATGTTACCTGCTTCTGCTCCTACGCTGGCAATGTTAGGCTGCAAGCTAGCGTAAAGAGGAGTGTGCAGAGCAGCGCTGTCTTCGCCAACAACTCAGGGGCGAAGTGCTAATGAGCTACTGGAGCTCTGCAGAAGAAAAGTCCCTTTTTTCCACTCTGCAAAACCAAAACCGTGCTTACTCCTCCTTCTACCGTGATGACGATATTACACATTACACCAACAACTAGTACAACTTCCTGGGGTATTAGCACAGTTAATGTTTCAAGGGAAGGCTGCTGCATTTGACCATGTAGTGTGGTTACTGTAGTAACATGGGAAGAGTTTGCTTCACTGTGTGATCATAGGAGAGTAAGAAAAAGGAGTTAGAATGAGAGAAAAAG